TGGTTAGGGTGTGGATGTTGCAGGGTATGGGGTATGTGGTTGGGGTGGGGATGGTGTGAGGTGTGGGGTTATGGTGGGTGAAGTGGGAGGGTGTGTTTGGAGGGGGTGTGTGGGGGCTGTGGGAGGGGGTGTGTGCACGTTTGTGTGCGGGGCGGGGGATCCTCGGAGTCCCTGGAGGGTGCCATTCTCTGGAGCTGAATGTGGTGGCAGTGTGTGAGGTCAGCCCCACCGAGCCCTACGTGGTGAAGCCAGCAGTGCAGGTCATGGGGCTCAGCCGGGGCGGCAGGAAGAGGGGCAGAGCCGGCCCAGCTTCGTAGCGTGGAGCTCCCTGTTGTTCTCCATGACCTGCACATAGCAATGAGTGGGGCTGGGCTGCCAACGCCATCGCGTGCAGCACTTGAGCTTCACACGATGGAGCCAGGCAATCCCTGTGCCCAGGCTTCATGCTTCTGCCTCTGCCTCCCTCCTGGTCCTCACTGGCCCCAGTGCACCAGCACACACCCACCACCACCACTTCCCCTGCCACCCCTGTTGCCCTTCCTCTGCTGCTTCCCTCCTTTCCCTCATGTGCCTGCCTGCCACTGCTGCCACCGCTTCCCAGCTGCTACTGCCATTCTGCCTGCTTGCTGCTGCTTCCTGCCCTCCCAGCTGGGCCGGCTGCATGCTGCATTGTGCATTCCCAGCCAAACAGCCAGGAACCACGTGGTGCTGGGTGGGCTGGCTCTGGCGGGATGCGTTTCCTGGCTGCATGGCTAGGACCACACATGGCACGGCATGGAGCCAGCCCAGTTTGGGCCAGTCCCCACGGAGTGGGGTGATCACTGGCAATCCTCCCCCACTCCCTCCTCCTGTTCTCATCTGAGTTTCCACTCTTGGCTGGAGGGAGGGCAGGAGAACAGCCCCATGGCTGCCAGGCCAGAAGCCTCTGCTAGGCAGAAGCTTCCCACTGGGGGCAGGATGGGGCCAGGTAGGCATTGCTGCTGCCGCTGCCAGGTCCTGCCACCAGGTCCTCCTGCCGCTGGCACTGCATCAGCTTTGACAGGCAGCCACTGGCAGGTAATAATTTTCTAAATTTTAGAGGGGCCCCGTGGGTCAGATGCAGGCCATAGTTTGCTTGCCCCATATCTAGATCATACGCCTTTAATAGTGTGTTTGCTTTGTATTTGAGACTGTAAATGGCCACAACAATGCAGCAGACAGAGTTAAAGGGATCATTTGCAAGCTGTGATTTGAAATGACAAAGAGTTTTGCCCTTGCATGTCATTTTTACATTTTTTACTGTTTTCTTTCCCAGTTTGTCTTCATCTTATAAGATTTCTTTTTTTCTTCTTTACAACAAGTTACAGCTGTATAAATATTCTTGTTTGTTTTTGGGGATGTGAAGTGGTTGATTGACCTAGTTTGGTCTCAGCCTGAGACATGCCAACATGGAAAGCACTGGCAGCTCCACTCCAAGTATTTACATCTGGCAACTAAGCAACCAGGCAAATAAACAATGTGCAAGCCACCTGGCAAGTGTGGTACAAGACGCCCTGCACCGGATGCGATAGCAGCTTTTTCCCTCTGCTTCACATGTTGTTCTCCCTCCTCGCTTCGCCCTGGTGTGCGATGCGCATGCTTCAGAACGTGGCTTTTTTGTTTGCATCGCCATGGCAAGCTCCGCCTGCGTCGGCATCCCATGTTCTGTGGTGTGGTGTCGGCACCTGGACTTCCCCGGGGCAGCTTCTTCCCTGAAGCTCATTCCTGCCCCAAGATTGTAGGCTTGGGGCAGGACTGAATGCTGGTTTGCTAGGGCCAGTGCCTAAGCTACAGTTGGCTTTTTATCTCCAGCACTCTGCTTGGGGCAGCATCTTCCAAACCCTGACTCACGCACCCTCATTCATGTGCTTGGTAAAGGCAAAAGAGGGTCTGATGATGGGTCTGAATGAGGTGGGAGAGAAGGGAGAAAAGGAGACCTGATTTCAATGCCGGATCCCTTTTTGTATAGCAGTTGTTTAAACTCCTTGAACGGACTATGTTATAATGCTTATAGCCACGTGCACTTTGATTATTGACTGCTTTGTTTAACAAAGTTGACTCAGTGTGTTTTATAAATGGACCGTCTGTCTGGTCCCGCCAGCATGGAGAAAGAATTAAAAATTGCTGTGACACTGAGGCCACATCAACAGTCGCGTATTAATGCGACACAAACTCTGGCACTTATTGCACTGGAGTTTATTTATCCCAGGTGCCACATTTACAGGTGCGCCTGGGACCATTGCACATTGAGCCAGGGTGGAGCAGCCTTGGCTGGCAGGTGGTCCGAGGGTCAGCCTTCTAGCCTGGGGTTGCTCCACCCCAGCTCAGCGTGCTGCAGAGGGGCTGGCAGGGGCACAAGGGTGTTTCAGTGTGGGGTGAGCTGGCAGGCAACCCCCGTACAGAAGCACCTTCATGCCCCATTCAGCCGGTTCAGTGTCTACACGTGCACTGCTGCACATGGAAAAACTCTGCAGCAGGATAGTACTTGTATTTTTACAAGTGCTAATCTGCTGTGGAGTTTTAGTTTCCTGCAGCCTAACAGGGCCACATGTGTAGATGCCAAGACATTTACAGCACAGCTAATTGGGCAACTCCACAGTAAACATCTCATGTAGCCGCACCCTGAGACTCTCAGATAGACTTTAGTTCACACCCTCTTAGTCTGAATTAAAGTGCAGTAGCTATTCTGGAACAAGAATGTCCATGTATATGGAATTTACTCTGCAAATTTGTTCTTGAATATCTCTACCATGTGGAGAAGCCTGTATTTAAATGTGGTAGAGCTCAGTTACCCTAGCAAATCAGAGTGAAGTGCAAATGGTTGGATACTTCCTAAGCATAATGTAAGACGAGATGACTCAATCAATGGGCAAGAGTGCCACCAAGGCAGCCAGCATAAGATATACTGCAAACGTAAAGCAAAACCATCGATTAGTTGCCAGCAGCAGATTCAACAACAAAAATACTTAATCTTTGATTCTCATAAGCACATTCAAACACCTCCTGCAAACCTCAATAGCGCAGTGTAATAGTGCTCTGAAAAACTATCCCTTTTCCAGGTAACAACTTGTATTGACCCAGGTTTGGGGGATTCCTAGTCATCTTAATGAAAGTGCTGCTCATTGCCTTCCCTTTTGCATTTGACAGATTGATCAAAAACAGTTTGATAAAATTTTGGAACTGATAGAAAGTGGGAAGAAAGAAGGTGCCAAGCTGGAATGTGGGGGTCTTGCCATTGAAGACAGAGGCCTGTTTATAAAGCCCACTGTGTTTTCTGAGGTTACTGACAACATGCGGATTGCTAAAGAGGAGGTATGGCAATCTTTAACCCGGTGCTCTGGATGTAGGACTGTACTGCATTCAACAGCGCCTCTCATTGTATTGCTTTGATTTAGTCACACCAAGGGGAATTATTTTGAGATGAGATCCTAGCAGACCATGCCAAATAACTGACTGAAACCTGCCAAATTTTTTGAAGCGTGTTGAGCATTCCAATGGAGAAACGTGTTTGTTGCAATGGGAGGAATTCTAAGAAATTAAAAAAAATAAAATAAAAAATCTGAATAACCAAAGTGGAAATTGTGATGGTGGGGAGGAGAGAGAACACAGTTAAAGTTTCCACAATCAAAGCATGGACATGTCTGTGCCACGTGCTGGCAGTGGTGCCCTCAAATACATTGTGCTGCTCTGTGTGGGCTACTTCATGGCCTGGAAGAAGGTGGGCTGCATTCACATCCTGACATGGCCAGGTTACAGCGGGGCTAATCGGTCCCACACAGCAGCACGGTCTGTTTAGAGGCACTCCTGCCTGGCCGGATAGACTTTGCCCATGTTGATATACTTTGTGGTCCCTTTTCTGTTTGCCAAGTTTGGGTAATTCCCTTTTTATTGTTCCCCTAGTAAAAGACGGCCCTGTGCTATTCAGCCCTAAGTTTTATCCCCTGCATCAACAAACCTGCTTAAGAGTCGGTAGGATTTAAGTACATGTTCAAATGTAAGGGTGTGGTAAAGTGGTGTGCACTATCCAAGGTCCAAGGAGCTGCTGTGGGATCCTATTAATGAAGAACAAGCCATTTCAAATGGAGGAAGAGAACACTGACATTATTTTTTGACTTGCAAATTCAGTAATTAATGAAATTCTTCATCTCCCCATCACCTCTCCGTGATCATGTTCTCAGAGCATCTAAATCCAGAGGCATTTAGGCCCATTCAAGATGATATGTGTATGCAGCCGTGTTGGTACAAGCCCCCTGCTGAACAGTCTGAACTGACCAATAGTGACTAGCACTATGCTGCTCAAAGGTGGTTGTGCCTTTGCACTTCCTGGCAACAAGGCCATCAGATCTTCAGGTCAAAATGGCTGCAGTGCAGCTCAGTGAATCCCTGAAATTGGGGGACCCAGAAAAGCTAGAATATGCCAGTACCCAAAAGGAGCATCTTTGGCTCCTTTACTAGAAAAAGTGGGACTTAATGGACAAATCAGTGTTATATCCAACTAGGAGAAAACCAGAAGCATGTTAGTCTGGCGCTTCAGCTTTCATTACTGGCATTAAGCAAAATTTAAACAAGTTGCATCTGTGTAGAGCCTGGGATGCTTCTTTGAAATATTATTTGACAGCCAGCTTCCACTGGAAGATGCAATGGAAACTGGAAGCTTCTTGCTGTTTTCTGGCATTTTTACTTTGGCATAGAAGTATTTATTGTATTAGAATACAGTCCTGGCAAAGAGCATCGTGATGCCTTGTATCTGCCATGCAGACCCCAAGGAAGGATATGTCTGTGAAGTCCACGCATGAGTTATGATCTAAAAATAGAAGAGAGGAGCTGAATAGATAATCCCATGACTAGTGTCTTTCAGATGAATTCTCTCCAGGTCACAAAGTCGTGATTCATTGGGCTTCTCCAATTTCACTCATCTGCAGCAAAACTGCAAATCCATCCTTCTTTCTCTGTTAACAAGAGACCGTTAACTACATAGACCTCAAAGGAAGGAAGTAGGAAACCACTGTTCTACACAAGGTCGAGTCCTTGGATGGGATGACCCCCTGGAAAGCCACAGATGGGATTGTTTCCCACTTCATCAGTGAGGTCTGAGTCTGTATGGTTAGCTCACAGAAGTACTCTGACATTGCATCGTACTGCACTTGGGAAGAAAACTCCAGCCCAGGAAAGGTGTGGAGCTTCCTGACTGGTTCACAAGCAGAAACTCATGCTGAAGGTCCTGCCTGTGACTATGTAGGGTTAATACGTGCACTTGTGATGGGCAGCTACTTCTGTGCACAAAACCTGTGGCAAGCACCCAGGGCTCCATCGAGCCTGGCTGGCATTAACTAAATGTTGGTATGTTCCCAATACAGCAAGTCCCAGCTGAGACCAGAGGGCGTCCCAGACGGAGAAAGACTTAACCACTTTGAACTCCTGTGCATCCAAACACATGCTCATCTTAACCAGATGCCTTTAATGTACAGGATTAAGGGAAAAAAAGTTACTGTCCCATGAAGGAAAACCTTTCTTTGCATCAGGACCTCTGCACATGCTTACTGCTGTTGCATGTTATTTAAGACTCATCTGGAATGGATTCTGTTGGAAATTGAGGGAGAGCTTTCCATAGGAGAAGGGTCAGACCCATTGCTTCTATTAAAACCCTAAAATGGAAGAAATCCCTGTAAAGTGTCCAGATTCCATTCCAGTGAGCTTGCTGTTGGGGCTTTTTACCCTTTCTATACTAACGCTTGCTTTTAATGTCTCTCAGATTTTTGGGCCGGTACAGCCAATCATGAAGTTCAAGAGCATAGACGAGGTTATAAAGAGAGCGAACAGCACAGAGTATGGCCTCACCGCAGCTGTGTTCACTAAGAATCTGGACAGAGCACTGACATTAGCTTCAGCGCTGCAGTCTGGGACGGTCTGGTAAGTCTGTTTCTGCTGTGGGACACAGAGGTAATTTTGCAACCAGTCTGCAGTTGGAGAGACCAATAGACTGGGTCACTGGCATCATTCTTGCAAAGAGAGATTCTCTATTCATCCAAATGAGCTGGGGTGGGTTAGGGGTGAATGGAGGTGAAAGATGTTACTTTTAACCACTTCTAAAAGTAGTCTTCCCTATGGAAAATGACTAGCCAAAAGCACCGGCTTCTGTATCTAATACATTGGACTGTGGATCCTTTGAAGGGTTAGGTTCCTTTGTTCCTTTCAGGTTTGAAGTATCCAGGTGCACACACAGCTGCACAGGTTGGCAGAAGCACTGTAGATTTTATTGCAAAAGGCACCGCTTTTCCAGTCAGCTGCAGGGGATTGTTGACAAGCTCCAGCTGATTGGAAAAGCAGTGCCCTTGGAAGCAGTAGACCGTTCAGTAGTTCATTCTTACTTTGAATACCTGCCAACTAAGCATGTTGTAAGTCACTGGATACAAGTGATTCAGGTTCCACTGCAATGTTGTTCCAAGACATTTTTAGACCTTCCGAGGGTCTCGTTACACCTTACACTGAAAGCCACACAAATGTTAATTAGCTTAGTGTTGTTTGGCTTAGTGGAGCAGTCACATGTTAAGGCAAAAAACCTGCCCCTCACCTGCACAGCTGTGACTTGCCACTGGAGGCTGGGTGAGCAGGTACAGGGCTAGGAGCTTGGGGAAGGACAGGCTCACTGCTTCCTCCAGGCAGTGAGTGCTGCAGCTCTGGATTGCTTGGCAGCCACGGTGTCTCCCATCACTGCTCAGATCACCTATGCTCCTAGTAGAAGCAGAGTGAACCAGCCCAAGGTCTGGGGGCAGGGCACAAAGGGCACTGCCAGGAGCAGAGCTGGCTCCAGTGGCACAGGCAATGTCCCCCTTACTACGAGCTCATTCTGCTCCCACTGGGAGCAGAGCTGGCCTGAGTTGTGGTGAGAGGCACCGTGGTACCAGGCACTCCAAAGCTGTGGTGCTTGCTTTCCCAGATGTGCCTGGGGGAGGCAAGGTGCTGTGCCCATCCCCGCTGTGCCCCTGTATCCCTGCTGCCCCAGACTCAAGAGGGCCCACTGCCTCCTGGGATGCTGGAGGACTTCAACTTGAGTGCGAAAACTGCAGAGTAGTCACAAGTTCATGCAGCAGGAGCAAAATTAGGTGGATTAGAAATGGTGTAACATTAAACTGAGTAGTGAGCACTTTAAGGCACTTAAAAGGTGTTAATATGCAGCCAGTCCAGGGGATAATTGCTCCAGAAGCCACCTGAAATTATCAGGTGACAGGGCATTTTGCATTAAAGTGATTTTTTTTTTTTTTTTCCTGTAGCATCAGCCATGCAGCACTTTGCTATGGGCAGTAGATGGCATCATTTCACTGTTTAAGGGAAGCAAGTCTGCATTTTGTTTGCAAAGCTCCTTTCTAACATTAGAAGAGTTATATATAACAACCTGGGGGGAAATTCTGGCAAAGGAGGTCAGGCTTCTCTCTGGGACCTGATGGGGAAAAGACTTTTTAAAAAATAAATAAAAAGCACTTAGAATCAGTTCTTTAATAGATGCCTGGTTCCCCAGCTCCATATTTCATAGTGTAAATAGGGGTGGGCAACTAGGACACTAGCCCCTGGTGCTGACGTGTGGGGAGGGCAAGAACGGCAGCTGGATTGCCATGGTAAGAAAAATGGCTTGAAAATGGGAACTTTGCCTCTGAAGACGACCTTCATTGCACTTCCTGCTGTACAACTGCCAACCTGTTCACTTTACTTGGGTACCAAAGTCATGACTAGGATTTCATTCTTCGTAATCCCCACCCCCCCCCAACTTTTGTCCTGAAGAACTGGGATCTCGGGAGGTCATTCCATAACGCTTAACTCGACACAAACATGTCTAATATGTATGCATTTTGAGCAGTGCCACTGGGGAAGTGAAGGCTTGTCTGAACTGGGAAATGGAATGGGTTTAAGACATGGTTTTAAGCATGACTTTGAACCTAGCAAAAACACAGCTTAAAGTATTTAAATGCATCTAGCTGGTCATGGTTGGAAGTCGCCACTGACACTCGCAAGTCCTTGTAGAGAATTCTCTTTCCTAAACGCCGTGCTTTTTTCCTCCTGAGGCTTAGTGAGGGCCAAAATGACCAAAAATTATTAGGGAGGGGTGAGGTATAAAAACCTAGTGTACTTTGTAGTGGCATGTCAGACCAGAGCAAGAATACTAATAAGCATAATCAGGTGTGTTTTTACCATTCAACTGTTTAATTGGATATATTCTATTTTGCCACAGGATCAACTGCTACAATGCCCTGTATGCACAAGCTCCTTTCGGTGGCTTTAAAATGTCAGGAAATGGCAGAGAACTGTAAGTTTGGGTCTGTGGTTTTTATACGGCCTGTAGTTTGTGTTGGGGGTTTTTTGTTTTTGTGGGGTGGGGGTTTAGTACATCTTTTCCCTACTAGTACACTTCCACTCTGGTTTCTTGAAGAAGCCTGCTTCCTTGCTTCCTGCTGGATCTTAAGGCTTGAGAAGGTGTCTATGGCCTCTGGCTATAGGGTAGTTTTTTGTTGTCTGAAGAACCTGCCAGAGAGAAAAGGAATTCTCCGTGCCCTCATTTGAAGCCGCAGCAAATCCTTTTCATCATATTTGCCCTTCAAAAATAAATGAATCCAGCTACAAGGGCGGGAAAGGGTGCTGCCAGATCCGTCGGCACCGCATGTTTTGTAAACTTAAAGTAAAGCTGCGCCTGCATTGGCATTAACAGATTCAACAAAGTAAGTTTAGACATACACGTCCAGATTCAACACGTTCACATCTCACGGCGGTTTGGTTTTAACTAGAACCTCTGGAACAACATAGGACAGATGTAGGCTGGTCCCATGATCACTCCAACAGCCAAATTTGGACAATTTTAGCTCAAGGTAGCACTTCAAGCTTTATGGCAGAGTTGACTTGTATTTTAGGGGTGAGTTGTCTCTGTATAGACAGAAAAGAGGCTACTTGAAATTGCCCTGTTCAGGACTCCCAAAAGGGCCCAATTTCTGCTCGAACTACTAACTCTGCTTTCTTGATGCCAACTCCAATTTGCTTTCTTTTGCCATTTTCAGTATTGGGGTTCTTTTGCAATAGAAAAGAACGTAGATGCTTTGCTCTGACTGATAAGTCAAGATGAATGAACCTTCCCCCCCCTCAAAAAAAAAATGCCATGAGAGAACTTATCTTTTGCCTGAGAGCCTGCCAAATTGGATGTCATCTCATCAGGGCTGTATCCCAAGGGCAGGGATGGGTGCCAGGGGCAAATTCCAACAGACAGATATGACCTAATAGATGCATCTGTCAACCAGTTAACATTTCTGCAGAAATGAATGCTGAACAACATACCGTGCTCTCCTAATTGGTATAGATGTATGTGCGTGCACACACACTTATTTTATACTAATGAAGCAAGTGTTAGTATTGGCCATTGCCTGCACAACAGTAATTGTACATATGCAGAACTTTATTCCTTCTATATGATCCCTACATGTGCCTTTAATGCCTCCAGTCTGCTAAGCTTGAAGTTTAGCAGGCACTAACTTCAATCGCTGGGATAGCTGCATGAAATAGTGCAGCATGTAAAAAAAAATTCTTTGTGTTCATTATAGGGGAAATCAGCAGGGCTCTGTTGGTTCTGGACTCCTGTCTCTTGCTGATCAACACGTGCAAGTAGTCTGATTTTAAATCCAGCTCACTAGGCACATCTACATGGCAGGTGAACTGCACAAGACAGCAGTGTCCTCAGACATGCTGGGCTGCTGCCTCATTTAACATAGAAACAAGGTAGCCAGGTCTGTATGGCATCACAGGCAGGTTAATTGGCTCTGGCACCCAGCACTGCTAATTAGCCTGTCCAAGACGTGGCACAGCTGTGGCTAAACTGCTGGTGTGAATGTGAGATGGATATGCCACCCTTCCCAGAGGGACTTGCAGTGAAGAAAACCCCAACAAAATAATTTTATAAAAGCATATGATACATGAAATCAAATAGATAAAAGTGTATAATGGAAACTCCCCAAACAATCCCTCAGTTTAACCTTTGCTAAACATTTGCCCAGATAAACAGGTCTTGTAGCACTTCTGGAGGATGTCCAGGTTCAGTTTCCAGTGGACCTCAAGGGGAAAGGTGTTCCAGAGCTGAGGGGCTACTACTGAGAATAACCCCACACATTTTTGCTAAGCAAGTTTGGTCCACATATGGTACTTGCTGGAGGTTGCACTTGATTGACTTTCAGGATTGTGGTGGAACATAAGACAAGGCTGTCCCCTAGATATGTAGGGCTCCGACTGCTTAGATGTACAGAGCAATGTCAAAAGCTTGTCGCACCAATCTGCCCAGCTAGCAGGCATTGATGATTAAAATGTCAAACAATCTCACTGCTCCCCTTTTCTTCCAGTGGTGAATATGCCTTGGCGGAATATACAGAGGTGAAAACTGTCACCATTAAACTCTCCCAGAAGAATCATTGAGTAGGCGGCTTCATCCTGCTGACGCTCTGAATGTGATACACACACATGGGGGACGTGTTCAGAATATGTGGGCAAAGGAAGAAGAAACCAGCACTTGCTTCAAGGAAACTTTCCATCTATTCTCTTTTGGAGGAGCTCACAGGTGCTTGCCAATTGGCTTTTCAAAATTGCATTTGACACATTTGCTGTCCCCTCGTTTTCCAGGACACTGCCCTCGACAGACTATCCCGAGCTCTGTCTGACCAGTGACCAGAATTCCAGACATCCTGCTTTACAGGGAATCGGCTTTTATCAAACTGTGCCCTTGAAAGCAGTATCACTTGCCCGGATCATGTTTGAAAGACCTTGGGACTATTCCTACATTGACGTATGTGGGCCTCACTTGGAGTAAATGAACACAGCTCCATTGACTCGAGTGGCATTGCTCCTGCTGGTAGTGGGTGCAATGCCACTGAAGTCAAAGGAGTTTGTCAGATGTGAAGACCATAGCCCATCTCCTGCTGTCAGGGGGAGCGTGGCTGTGTGTGCATGGGAGTTTTGAAGCACTTTTATCAGAAGAGCTACCTTTGCTTTCTCTCATGCACATGCATCCCTGAGGCTGGTAGAAGCCTGGTCCTGAATTACATCAATGGGAGTTTTCTTACGCACTTCCACGGGGCCAGGATTTCACAGGCTTAAGATCCACGTGTTCTTTGCTGCCTGTCTCTTGGTGCACACACTGTGCAGGCGCTGAGAGTACAAGTCATTGACTCCATAATCCACCTGGCTCCAGAGTCGCTCAGATCACAAGTCATTACTTCGGCACTTTTCACAAAAGGATTTTGCACTGTGTCGCCACTGAGGGGAGATGGAAACCGGAGCTGAAATCTTCTCGGAGGAGAGGAAAGATGGAAAGACAGCCTAGTTTGCCTTGTGCTTCTTTTGCTATCCTTTGGATTCCCATGCGTGAGGTTCATTTTGTTCAACTAGATCTGTTTTTGAGGTTGAACAGAATTAGAAAGCGCCCCTTCCTCTGCCCTCCCCACACCCCCAGTGAATGTAGCTTAAAATAGACTCTTCAAAATACACAATGAGAGAAACTGCTCCCAGGCTGTTTAACTCCCAGTACGTTTTTGAGAGAGAGAGGACCTGATCCTTTGGTAGCTCCATGGCTTGGTCCTCCAGGGTCTGAGTTGGAGGATACTATTGAAGAACCTGATTGAGATGCACCATGTCTGAAAGCCCTGGGTGAGAAGGGAAGTTGCCAGTGGTGTGAGCTTACTCCCAGAGGCCCCAAACTGGATAGCACTGCCCAAGATGGGACTTTGGTTAGGGGGCAGGGGATGCTGTGATTCAACTGCCTATGCTGGAGAGGCTTCCCAGAGAACCCTTGACTAAGAGTGAAGGCAAGGAAAGTCTGATGGGCAACCACTGCCCCCATGCGCTATGTCAGAGCCCCGCTGGCTTCCACACAGCACTGATGAGGAGGACCCCGAGGTGTCGGTGGAAGTCCTGCAGGTGGCTAAATAGCAAGTGTCAAATACTAGGGTCTTGAAATGGAAATGCAGGCTCACTATGGCAGTGCAAGGCCAGAGCAAGAAACTATACATCTCCCCCATCAGAAACAGTTCTTCTACGTAATTAAGAATTACTCCCATGCTGCTATGCAGGGAGACCTGTTTACTTGGACCTGACCTTCCTTAAGAGCCAACAAGCCTTGAAAGAAATGGGGCTTTCACACACTTTAACGTCTCATCAATGACCTACCCCCAGTAGCTGTAGGCTAGGGAGCATTTTTTCTCCTGTGAGGCAGGATATCCACAGATGAATCTTTCTCCCTGAAACAGAGACTCCCTCCTCCGTCCCCAAAAGTCCAAATGGGAAACCTGTAAATAGTCTTCTGTTTTTTGCAATGTGTAGCAAGGAAGCTTAAGCGCTTCCTCAGAAATCATTTTCACCACTGCTTAGTGAATGAGTTTTTAGCATCCAAAGCTAGAACTAGACACAAGGCAAGTACGTGGTAAAATCAGGCAAGATTAGCAATCAGTGTAGCTTTCTGTATTTCTTCATTTGACAAACATCTTAATTCAATGAAATTGTATGTTTTCAGATGTCGCCATATTCTTGTTAGTATGGTTTTTATATATATATATAAAAAAATAAGTGTGTGTGTGTGTCTGTGTGTGTGTGTGTGTGTGTGTGTGTGTGTGTGTGTGTGTGTGTGTGTGTGTGTGTGTGTATATATATATATATATATAAAAAAATATATATATTTTATCCTTCCTCCTTTTTTCCTATCAAGTTAAAACAAATGACTTAGTAATGTATTCTCTTATTGTATAAATCAGGGTTTGGCTTGACACACTGAATTTTCTAAATTATATATCAAATAACAGTAGATACTAACTTTTAAAATGACCCACAAGTGGGTATATATTCTTTCATTGCACAGTAATGCTTTTCATATGAAATACTACTTTTAAATATAAATATATATATATAAACTAGGTTACAGTTAATCTAATGTATTTTTATAGCTGAAGGTACATGGAAATGCTATGTGTTTAAACCTCATGTATATAATATAGAATATGGGTATCTTTTTTGTAATATTAGCTTTTCAATTCTTAATAAAAATGTTTAACTTTGTGGTACAGATTATAGATGTGACATTAACATCTTGCCCAGTAAAAAAGTACAGGGGGGAGGGAAAAAAATCTGATTTCACTCCCAAAGGTAAGTGTGGCTCCCTTTGTATTAGAAGATATTGGAGTTTGTCCTTTTATCAGACCAAATGGTGCCTTGAGATAAGCTTTATGTCCTTTACTGAGGCTGTCGTGCTCCGTAAGACCTTCCCCTGACTTCCTTAGGCTCTGACTTGCTGATTATCCCCTCCTTGCCCTTCACGCAGTCTGAATTTGGCCCATTGTGTCAACGGAATTGTTGTAGATGGGTCAAGCTCTCCTGCTCCTAGAACAAAATGCCCCTGTTGCGCTGTAGTAGCAGCGGCCTGTTTCCTTGAGATAGCGTGCTGTCTGTCCCACCGGTATCCAGTCTTCCCCAGTGGGTTTCCAAGATCAGAAAGTCGGGCTGAGCTCACAAAAGGGACGACCGAACACTGAACTACCTTCAATCGGAGAGCACCGCATCCACGATGATGCTGGGGTACCAGCATGGGAGGGCAGGGCACTTTCTGCCAATGCAGAAACGCGGTGGAGAAGGCCAGTGCTGTACGAGTGAAATAAGACGCAGCTCTTCCAACCAGCTTGCCCTCTGTGGGGTCAAATCCTGCTGGCCTTACTTGCTAGTCCTGTTTAGAGTAGGCCAGGATTGGGGCTGCTCCAGCCTTTCTCCATCTGCAAGGTGGGCTACATCCTCGCCTGGCAGAAGTGAACATAGCTTGGGCTCTGCGTTACACCAGTGGAGACCCAGCCTTACAGCTGCACACTGATTTAAAGGGCATAAAGCCCAAAGCCAGAGAAGTGCTGAGACTGCTGGTAGGGTGTTGGTTGTAGCTGTCTTGCTCTAAGGACGTAGGGCAGGCTAGTGGGAATGTAACGCAGGAAGAAGGGGTTGCCATTGAGAGCACATCTTGGCTGAGCATCTGGAGAAAATGCTTGCTTCTCTATGTCAGTCTGAGCACAGGAATGGGTCCCTGGTTTTATTCTCTGTCTTCAGAGAAAACTGTTGCAGAAAGAGTTTGCAGGTGGGGATTTTGTCTCCATAAGCCTGCCTCAAGCAGGGAAAGCGGGAGGCCTGAGGGGGTAGAAGAAAAGGTGACAAGTAAGAGACTGGGTGCAAAGTAAGGGCAGGATTAAGAACAGAGATGAGGAGTTTGCCTTGCTCCTCCTGGCTCCTACCACAGTAGCAGCTAGATTTGGGGAGCGGAGAGCTGTCTGATGTGGTGCAGCCAGGACCGAGCTCCCTCAGCTGCAGGGATTTGGGGTCCCGGCTGCACCCCACGGACAGCCAGGACTCTGATTCAGCCCCCGCGGCCGGGCGGGTGCATGGAGCACCTCCACATCCCCGGGGCCGGGAGATCACATTGGAGGTGGCAGCAGCCGGGGTGGCCCACCCACCTCGATCCACACGCGCACCTTGAATGGTGGGTGGGCTACAGGTAGGACACGTTTTCCAGCAGTAGCTTCATAGCCCATCGGAGCGCTTTAAGGTGGGAGAGATCAGCTGCAAGTTTTATGTATGCGTGGCCAGGTACTTGTGCAATGAAGTGTGCGTGTGGATGGGAGAGATGTGTAGGAGCAGAGTGTGGGTGTGTGTGGGGGGGGATAGAGTGTGTTTGCACAGATGAGAGACAGAGCGTGTGTACACACGTGGGAATAGTGTGCATGTGTGGGTGGGCAATAGGGAAAGTGTGCATGTGTGTGTGGGCACTAGTGTGCGAGTGCACAATAGTGTGTGTGTAACAGTGTGAACGCAGGCAATTTGTGTGTGTGTGTGTGTGTGTGTGTGTGCATGTGCGCAATAGAAAAAGTGTGTGTGTGTGTAGCACTAGAGCGTGTGTGCGCGGGGCAATAGAGAGAGCACGGGCGCCGCGCCGCTCCCC